GGCACACCTGTTAAGCTGCCCACCAGAGCGTCGGCCGCCCGAATGAAGAGGGCACGATCAGCGCTAATCAACTGGTGTATGTTGACTGGCTTATAGCCCGGAGGGATGGGCCGCGACAGAACCAAGAACATCTTGTTGACCCAACCCTCAAGTGCATGAAAGGTTCCCAGCCCTGCCAAGTCGAAAGCAAGACTTCGTCGCTGCCAGGCCTGGCGGAGAGCATACTCAGTCGACGCATCACAGCTCATGTCATGATTCTTTGCCGTCACCTTGAGGCCGCCATCTGTGTCCACAAGCACAGACTTGTCACGCTTTACACAAGATATCTCCTGCGACCTCGACACGAACTTATGTGGAGGCATATACACAAGCACGTTTTGCTCCAACATGTCCACGCAGGCGTCTACCACTCCTTGGCCAGGCCCAAATGAGTCCATTGAGTTTCTCACGCTGGGCTTTCTCACGAGCCAGGCGCTCAGCAACAGGCATCTTGCGAGGCGGGGCATCAACGGGCGGAGGCTCCACCCTCGCCTTTAAATCCTGAAGAGATAGAGCTTGGGATTCGAAAAGCAGTTTCCGAATGCACGCTGACTGCTTCAAGGTAAGCCCTGCAGGGAAGGTGTCACCAATGAACTTAATGACCTGCCCTTCTTCAAGGGCCTGTGGGTTGGCGCAAACCGCAAACCCTAGCGACCCAAAGGTATCGAATCCGGCAGCGCGCAGCCCTTCGATGGTCGCTTCAGTCATCTCTATGCGCCGACATCGCTCGAGGAAGGCAGCCTTCGACTCAAGAGTCACACTCGCCATCGCACCTAACAATCCCGAAGGACAGCTCCGAGTACCAAAAGAAACCTAGCACGAGCAATGACCATCACTGAGCACATGACTGAGCTGCGAATACCCAAAAAAATGTGTGTAGTAATGGGCTTGGCTTCCTGGAATTGAAGGTTATTTTTTGTATGAGGGCTCTGACCCTGGCAGGCAGCTGTGGTTCTGGATCGGCTGCACGGGGAGGCGACAATGGGCGTCACGGACGCCACGAAACGTGCGGACGCCGCACAATCAGACAGACACTTGACAAAGAGCATGAAGAAAGCGATGTCTGAGTATAACAACCACGTGGATGTCGAGCGGAAGGCGATCCAGGAGCGCCTATTTTTGTTATATAGGGTGGGGGACCCCTAAAGAAATAGGCGCGAGGGCTATCGCAAAGGCCATCACCTGACAAATGAATGATTCTCGAATACGCAAAAACGAAACCTGTCACATGTTCTAAGAGCTCTTGAACTGAGATGAAGAGGCGGCAAAAACCGATTGCTCAACTGGATAAGCTCCGCAATCATTTAACCGGCCACTGACGTCGAGACTACAGCCTCGAAGTGGATCCGTTCTGCCACATGCACACTGAAGGCAATCATTTAACCGGCCACTGACGTCGAGACTACAGTCTCGAAGTGGATCCGTTCTGCCACATGCACACTGAAGGAAAAGACATTTCCCAACCGTGTGCTGTACGCCTCCCATTTTTTCCATCTCACAACATCCAATCACGATGCTATCGACCGCTGACACTGTATGCAGCAGGTCGGCTCAGCAGACAAAACACCTGCCCTATCAAAAGGAAGATAGTTTGTGCTCAGGAGTCGCCCACACTCAAAAATTGAATCATCCCCACTCCGGAGCTTGTGAACAATACCGGACACGACGTGCGTATGACACCGGTCCCATCCACCCTCAAACTGCACCCGGGGGAAAATCGAAGGATCTAAGGCATCGACCACCTGGCGAGCGCTTTCGCCCGAGGAGGAGCGAGAGGAATGATCTCGCGGCCCGGCTGGGTCACTACTTCCTGAAGCTTCAGCCTCTGCCGCCTCGTCATCATCCTGTCTGCGCACCATGCGTTGGCCCTCATCACTGCCCTTGGCACGGTACGAAGCAGCCACCTGTGCAACCCGACCAGCAGCGCACATGTCGGGATCAAAATTGCCGGCGGCTATGCTTTCCATCATGGCCTGGACCTTACCCATGAGGGTGGCATAGGCCTGTCGCGAATAAGTCAAGGCCGATCTTTCCTTACCAAGAGAATGGTGACCCATCAGCTTGCGTTCCCACATCTTGAAAGGAACGACAGGAGAACGTTGAGCCCAAGTCAAGAGGGTAGCCTTAAGTGAGTGCGTTCCCAGCTGTGAAAGGGGAACAGCACTCTTATCAACTCCAGCTAGGCCTTCTTGAAGAAAGATCTGGCCCTCTGTCGAACTCATCCTGACACCTAGCCAGCCTGAACCATCAGAGCGCAAGCTGGGCAGGCACATGTCCTTGCCTACCACCAGGCCCTCGGCCTCACGCGCCGATAGCCAAGCCTCGGACCAATCATGGCCCGACAGTCCTCGCCCAAGGGCAGCGTACGGCAGTAAAACCCGCTGACTCTCCTGAGAGTAGGTATGCTTCGCAGTCAAGGCATCAACGACTAAAAGCACAACCCCATTAGCTTCCTGGCGGGCAATGCTGACAATGCGCTGGCTATCCGACCACCTGCAGGAGGCATGCAGACAGAAAAGGATCTGCCCTAAAACGCAAACCTCTTTGGTATCAGTACTCTCAACAGCTCCACGCTCAAGCTCCTCGACCTGATGACGGGTCAAGGGTGACTTCTGTCGCAACGGTGCTTTAGTTAAGTATTGGTCTCTTGAGGCACCTTCACACCTCGTCGAGATCACATCAGAAGGCGGGCTGTGAATCAAGCCGATGGCACCATGCAAGAAACGCCATGCCTGCAGGAAGTGGTTGGGTGACGTCGGCTTTGCGCCTGATGCCCTGAGGTCGCACAGGTACCTGTACATGATTTGCTCGTCAGCTCGAAAGGGCGAAGGCAGATCCTGATCAAAACACCATCTGGCAAAACGTTCAAGAGACCCAGCCCTCTTGATCAAAGTCTGTGAGGCTTTCGCTCGAAATGCATCGGAGATGGAGCGAGCAACTGTTTCATCATCACACAAGTTCTGCATTTGGTCAAGCAATGACACGCCGAGCTTCGAAGCAGTTGGGTCCAGGCACACAAGAAGCTTAAGCCGTTTCAAAGCAGCTGCACGGATCTGCTCCTCAGAGGTCGGAGCCCTCATGCGCAAAAGCCGCTTTCCAAAAGCAGCTGTAACCTGCCCTAGCTCCTGCGGTGCCACTCCCTCGAAACCATCACTCACAACTTGTTCAGAAGCTCCTGCACTCAACAGCACACCTGAGCAAGACCAGTCACGTGCAGGCACGACAGGCCCAGCAGAAAAAATCATGCTCATGGGACCTGTCTCCCACGGAAGCTTGGGGATGTTCGTGCGGCGACGCTTTGCAGACAACTCCACTGCCACACGCTTCAAGTCGTCAGCTTCGCGAGCAGGCTCTAGGGCAACAGGAAGAGCAAAGGAAATTCCCTGGCTCCTTAGGTAAAAATTGCTGGTAGCTGGAGGCTCCGACAT